GAAAATCAATTTATCTCAAAACGTAAATTTTGATGTTCGATGTACCTTTTCTGAGAAATTACTGTTCATAGGTACATAAATTTTTTATGATATATTTATAATGATGGCTAATATATACTAATATGAGCTTTTTGTAAAAAACTCAAAAATTTTATTTTTTACAAGTTTTTTATGTGAAAAATGAGTCAAATTTCGCAAAGTTTTATAAAATATTTAATAAATTATTAAAAAATTCAAAATTAGCTAAAAACTCATTTTAGTATAATGAAAAAGGTGTATTTTAACTGTATGAAAAATTTCAAACATGTACATATAACATATTTTGAGAAACCGCACATTGAAAACAACCAATTGTCGGTAGAGAGAGACAGAAAGGTTTCCAACTCTTAACCATCCAAGAACGGTAGGTAACGAAATTTTTAACATGCTCTATTGTGCTTTTAAAAAAATGTTTCTTACCCGGAGGATTCTGGTATGCGATTTCTGGAGGTTTCTCGTCTTCGTCAGGGACGATGATGCACATATCGGGGTTCCCTTCTTTGCCATTTTTCAGAAGGGCCTCCGACCTATTTAGGAGGAAATGAAAGATTAATTAACTTCGAACATTTTTCAACCCTTAAATTATCCAATACCAACATCCAAGAAACAGAACCCTGGAATCATTTAATATAATAAAAGCACTTTGTTGCATATTATATTGTTGTATTGTAACTCATTTCTATGAGATCGCTTATGCCCAAAGAGTAACATTCACATTTACAAGATTCCTACTATTAGTTACCTCTCTCCCTTTACACACACACATACACACACACACACACATATATATATATATATATATATATATATCTTTATATATAAAAATCTTCTGTGCGTGTGTTTGTCACTAAACTCCTCCTAAATGGCTGGACCGATTTCGAAGAAATTTTTTGTGTGGGTTCAAGTAAATTCAGGAATGCTTTAGATTCACAATTCGGTCCGATATCGCAATTAGTTTAAAAGATATTAATTAAAAACATTCAAAAAATACAACTCAGCATTCACCTGCATTGTTGCAACAACGCTACGGTTATAAACAAGTATTATAAAAAATTTTAATCAATTCCTACTTAGATCAACCAAGAAAAAAATTATTTTAGCTACTTTTTATTAAACAGTTGCAATTAATAGAAATATGTATATACATGTGACAGAATCACAACATTAAGTGGTAATTAATTTTTATTAATTATCATTAAAGTATCGCATTGTCATTCAAAACAATCGTGTATATAAAATTTCCTTTCAATTGAATACACGTGAGAAAAAAAACCTTTTCGAATTTTGACATAATTCGCCAACGTGGCTGTAGTTGTAATTTTTTTTAAATCATTAGTTTTAATCAACTAATTTTTATTAATAATAATTAAATTACCGTATTGTTATCCAAAATAATCATGCACATTACATTTCAATTCAACATTTCAATTGAGTGCTTTAAAATGTATTTTATTAACGATTGAAAATTCCACCAAGATAAATAAATAAATAAACAAACAAATAAAATACGTATAGAGATCGCGAGCTAATAGTAGGACATGAAAAAGACTTAAGTTGGCGTCGAAAATTGATTTTCAGTCCAACTGGCCAAACTCGGTCTTTATTGTTACGAAAATGCAGACGATTCACGCTTTTTAGCGTTTTTAATTAATATCTTTTCAAATAATCTTTATATATGTAATTCTTCTGTGCGTGTGTATGTAACTGAACTCTTTCTAATTGGCTGGACCGATTTTGATGAAAGTTTTTGTCTGTTCCAGTGGACTCGAGAATGATTTAGGTTTATAAATCGGTTTAGAAATGTTTGTTTAATTAATTTTTTATTTATAAATTGTTGATCTTGGAAAGTTTTACATTGGATCCGGCAGACTGCAGTACGATAGCAGTATCAAATATTCAAAAATCTTTTATTACAATTCAAGTTGGTCCCGACAGTTGGTGCTGTGATCATTTCAGGAAAATATTTTGTCACTTCGTGTTATTATTTTGTTGAAATAAATCGTGTGTTAATTAAATTATTACATTCAGATGTAATTAGTGTTTGAAATTTTACTCAATTTTACTCAAAACGGTCCAGATTGTTAAAGCTCATTCATAAAAAATTGGAATTTTTGAATTTAAGATGTGTGTACAGCACAACGTCTGTCGGGTCCTCTAGTATATATATATATATATAAAACAGCCGTTACCCACCCGCTTCACTGGGTATTTCACGATGTTGTATATATGTATACTGTTTACATATATATTTATTATTGATATCTAGCATTAAGAATTCGATTGTATTGAAAAATATATTTATAGCTGTTACACTCTCGCCCTTGATATAAAAAGAACATAAATTATAATATCTAATTTCTATTTATATCTAAAATAGAAGTACAAAGATTTTTTTCGCTCACTTAACCTAATAATCAAGTGGATTTCCACCAAAGCAACTTTCAGTGGATCTCTACTCCATAAAATAAACATGCGTGCTAAATTTCAAGTCTTAAAATAACAGAGCCAAAATTGAATTTTTATCATCAATACCTCGTTGACAGCATTCTTAGTTGATTCCAATTAAACAAAAGAAGCATGCAAACCAAATTTTATTATTATAATCTTAGCAGTTCAAAAACAGGAATTTTGTCTATCAATACGCCCCAATAACTCTCCCCGCTTCCCCCTGGAGTTGATTTCCGTAAAATCCATGCTTAGTCGAACTCTATTCAACTAAAGAAAAAAGGGCTCAACAAATTTCAAGTAAATGAGTTAAATTCAAAAACAGGAATTTTTCTATAACACGCCTTAATCTCTCGCAACCCCACTCCTTTGGGATCCCTTTTCGCAAAAATCTTTGTAAAAGGAACTTTATTCCATGAACCGAACATAGCTTCTAATTTTCAAGCAGGTGGTTCTATTAGTTGAAAAGCGGAAATATTTATCTATTACGCCCCTTAATTCCCCTCAGTGACCCTTGAGGATCAATTTTCCCCCAAACTATTTTGTAGTGGATCTCTGCACCATGAAAGGAAATCGCTTACCAAATTTTAAGACTGTACGTCTAATAGTTTAAAAATGGAAATAATTATCTATAACGCCCCTGAAGCCCCCACAATGCCACTTAGGAAACGATTTTCACAAAACCCATCTTATGGCAGATCTCTACTCAGTGAATGGAATCTGCTTACTCAATTTCGATATTTTACGTCTAATAGTTTAAAAAAGGAGTTAATTGCCTATATATAACGCCTCTTAATTCTCCACAACGACACTTGGGGTCAATTTTCACAAAACCCATTCTGTAGGGGATCTGTACTCTATGAAAGGAATCCGCTTATCAAATTTTAAGACTGTGCGTCTAATAGTTTAAAAATGGAAATAATTATGTATAACGCCCCTTAAGCGCCCTCAACGCCGCTTAGGAAACGATTTTCCCAAAACCCATCTTATAGCGGATCTCTACTTAATGAATGGAATCAGCTTACTAAATTTCGAGATTTTACGTCTAATAGTTTAAAAAAGGAGTTAATTGCCTATAACGCCACTTAATATTCTACAACGCTACTTGGGAGTCGATTTTCACGAAACCCATTCTGTAGGGGATCTGTTCTCTATGAAAGGGATCCGCTTACCAAATTTCAAGACTGTACGTCTAATAGTTTAAAAATGGAAATAATTATGTATAACGCCCCTTAAGCGCCCTCAACGCCGCTTAGGAAACGATTTTCCCAAAACCCATCTTATAGCGGATCTCTACTTAATGAATGGAATCAGCTTACTAAATTTCGAGATTTTACGTCTAATAGTTTAAAAAAGGAGTTAATTGCCTATAACGCCACTTAATATTCTACAACGCTACTTGGGAGTCGATTTTCACGAAACCCATTCTGTAGGGGATCTGTTCTCTATGAAAGGGATCCGCTTACCAAATTTTAAGACTGTGCGTCTAATAGTTTAAAAATGGAAATAATTATGTATAACGCCCCTTAAGCGCCCTCAACGCCGCTTAGGAAACGATTTTCCCAAAACCCATCTTATAGCGGATCTCTACTTAATGAATGGAATCAGCTTACTAAATTTCGAGATTTTACGTCTAATATTTTAAAAAAGGAGTTAATTGCCTATAACGCCACTTAATATTCTACAACGCTACTTGGGAGTCGATTTTCACGAAACCCATTCTGTAGGGGATCTGTTCTCTATGAAAGGGATCCGCTTACCAAATTTCAAGACTGTACGTCTAATAGGTTAAAAATGGAAATAATTATGTATAACGCCCCTTAAGCGCCCTCAACGCCCCTTGGAGGTCGATTTTAGTAAAAATCATTATGTAGGGAATCTCTACTTTATGAAAGAAATATGTGTACCAAGTTTTTCTCGACTGTAATCTAATAGTTTAGTAATGGAAATAATTATCTATAACGCCCCTTAAACCCCCGTAACGCCCCTTGGAGGTCGATTTTAGTAAAAGTCATTATGTAGGGAATCTCTACTTTATGAAAGAAATATGTGTACCAAGTTTCTCGACTGTACATCTAATAGTTTAGTAATGGAAATAATTATCTATAACGCTCCTTAAACCCCCGTAACGCCCCTTGGGGTTCGAACTTTGCAAAATCTGTTCTTAGCTGACGTCTACTCCATGAAGGGAACCTACGTACCAAATTTTAAGTCTGTAGGTTTAATAGTTCCAGAGATATCGTGATTAGTCAGTGAGTGTGAGTCGCTTTTCTCCTTTATATACATATAGATATGTGTGTATCTAGTTCAAATGTTCAATTGTTAATAAAATGGTTTCTATTAATCTATCAAAGTTCAAATACATTTTTTTAAAACTTGTAGTGGAGGACACTTGATGTGTTAATACAGGTTTTTTTTTCAAATATTAATTCATTAATTAAATTAAAATTGAATAAACAAACAAAAATAATAGTCCAACAGCATAAATAGAAAAGAAATTCGTTCGATGTGTCCCTAAAACGCAATGGAAAGCGCGTTGGATTTCTAATCCAAAGATCGTGGGTTCGAATACAATCTGATATAGCCTATTTCCTGAGAATGTGATTTCATTTTTTTACTATACTATTTTCTTACACTAAGTAAATTTAATTAATGAATAAATAGTAACAAACAAAAAAAATAGTTCCAAACCCTATAAAGAAAAGAAAATGGAAAATGACGATGAAAACCGCTTTTTATTTTTTTTATTGTCATTCTGTCCTATGTAGATAATTATTTATATCAATTGCAATAATTTAATTTAAAATAGGTAAAATAAAAAAAAATTGTTGACTTAATAGGAATTGACTTAATTTTTTTTTATATCCCTTCTTTTATTATCATTCTCTTAAGCTGTATTTAAATTTTAAAAAAATATTTTATATTTATCTGCATTAATCAATTTTTAATGTTAAATTTTAATTTCAGAGATACTTTCTTAAATCGGTTCTTAAGTACTATCACAATCCCGTTAACTTTTAAGATAACTTACCAAATTGACAGCCCCGATTTTACTCGTGTCGTAAGCGCTGAATTGTTAACCATGTGCATCCCTTCCTATTTCTCTACTAAGCCTATCCGTTAGTTGATATGGCAAATTTGAATACTAAAATCTGAATCTAAGACTAACCGAATGCTCAATTATAATTTTTTTTATTTCTAATGCAGGGTATTAACAATCATTAACATAGTTCATCAATCTACATTCACCGAAAGCAAGTGAGTGTGACGCCATATTGGAGGATACCAATCGCCGCAGGCAATTTCAACACCCAGTTTCGATGAGAACCTGTACTAGGATTTAATTTTGCCTAGAGCACCCCCAGGGCTCTTTTACATGCCGTATAATCATACGACATGGCAGCCGTCGATTTTGTGCATCATGAAAATCCATTGATTTGTGCTGGGGTCGAACCCACAACCTTGGGTACAGAGGGCTAGCAACAAACCAGCCATGCCACCCAGCCGACAAAATTTAAAAATGGAATTAACAATAATATAGTTATATATAGTTATTATTATTTTAAAATTTATTTATAGCGAAATAACAATATTATAGAAAATAAATAATAATAAAATAAATAAATTAAATAATAATTATACAAATAAATTATTTTTTTCTTTTATTGAATATTTATAAATACTTATTATTTTTCTCATAGTGTTTATTCGATTACGCGTTCCATATTCGTTCTTGTATGGAAGAGGGGGGTGGGGAGGGCGATGAAAGTTTCAGAAGCACTGGCCTTCAGTATATCTAATTATAATAGTTTGAGCAAAATAAATATTTATAATCAGGGCAATATATAATAAATAAGAAAGAAAGCAAAGAATATTTAACTAGATCTAAATCAAACTAGTAAAAGAAAAAAAGACCACTCTCTTCTATTGCAGTGTTATTGTAAGCATATAATCAAGTAAAACCTAATAAATTTGCAAAATTTCAAGTCGGAATAAATTGCACTAGTTATCATTTTAGTAGAATTTGAACAAGTTTTGAATGGTACTTTTGCAGCCTATGTCGGAAAATCAACCACTTTAACCCTTTAGCTACTGACTATACTTATAAGTACCATTCACTTTAAAATTACATAGAATAACCATTTTTACGAATACTCTGACGATACTTAGCAGTAATATTCCTTTAAATCCCGTCTTCCAAGATATATGGTACCTCAATTTCAATGATGAGTATTTTAGCGGGGAAGGCGAATAGTTTTATAGCATAAATTGCGCTTTCAGTTGACGGCTTTTTCAGTGGATGGCGAAGATTGTCATTTTTCTTCCAAAAAAATAGTTAATATGTAAAGGTAAGTGTCTCATTTTTCCTTGAATGTTAATGAAGACCTTAGAAAACGATTTGACTATTTATTTTAAGTGGACAGTGTATAAAATTAATTTTACAGTTTTATATCTTTAATTAATTAATTAGCTTTAACGGATTAAATTTCTCAAAGTTGAGTAGTTTGTCTATGTATATCTCTTAATTTTCAATGTAGTGATTCAAAAAAAATATTGCATAAAAAAATCTGAAGTAAATCATAATGCCGTAGATAAAGAGTTAAAATAGAATTTGAGGCATGAGGCCTTTTAAACACGCTTTTGCGTTCGTAACAGTAATAAAAAACATATATTTGTCTCTATTTTGCTTTAGCTTTGCTGGAAATTGTATCGTATTGTGCAACGTTTTATCATTCCATTTAAAAGCTAAAAGCCACCTTATAAAATAGATTTTATCTCTATTTCCTTCTAAAAGTTCGAAATAAAGTGTCAACTTAAGCGTTTCGTAAAACTTTTTCATCCTTACTTTTTAACTTTCAATTTAAAATAATAACCTCCAGTGACCCCTAATCTCTTGTCCGCTTTCCCTCAAATCTCTTTGCAAGAATAAAGTTGAGCGCGGAGGGAGGGAAAAAACTAAAAAAGTCAATTCAAAAATACTTCTTTTCCTTCCGTCTTCAAAATGATCCCTTGTGCCATAGAAACATTTCCTCCAATCTGCAGCTAGAGACCTCTCAACTCTCCTGAACTGCCTCGGAACTCGACAAAAACCAATACTTGCCCACCTTCAGCGCCCCCTGCCGGCAGACTGCCAATTTATTCCGAAAGGATTAGCAAGGGGTCAGCGGAAAATCCCACGAGATTTTCTGGGGCTATTTCTTCACACGAACGAATGTCGGTCAAGAATTCTGCCCATTGACCAACCACCTCGGGATTAGCCGGGAACCAGAATTTTCGAACGTCTCGAGGAAAAGTCGTCTGCTTTAGTATGCCGTTGGGGTAGACGAGGGTTATTATTAGGTTTTGGCAACGGGGGCTTAAGAAGCGAGAAAGTCGTCTGCCGCTTTGATTAATACAGAGGTAATATAAAGGAAATGTGATGATGAATGTTCTTTTTTTTTGTTGGGGGGGGGAGGGGTTGTGATTAAGAGACAGACGATTATTCTTCCGCCGATGGAATAATGATTTTCATTCTTCACCGTATCGCCTGAAGATTTATTTCCCTCGGGTCACTTGATAGAGGGGTTGTGTGTGTGTGTGATGCATTTTGAAAACTATTTTTTTTCTAAGTAGGGTACGATTCTTGAAGAATCCTTCAACACTCTTGAATACTAATGATTCTTGTGACGTTACAAACTTCAGCAACATGATATATCTATCGAGGATATTGACTTTGACTTCAACATCACTCTTTCTTGACTTTTCTCATACATTATCTATTCTGCAAATTAGTCTAAGGAACTGCACATCATTTAAAATGTATAATGTTCCTTAATTATTGGTTTTAAGCATAAATTAAACTGTCCATACGATTCTATTAATTTTTAAATCTTTCCATTGCCTTTCTTTAAATGACATAGTTTCAATTCTGCATTTTTGAAAAACCGCTAGTGATAAGAAAATAGTGAAAAGGGATATGAAAGAAATGTGTTCGTAAAAGCTTCTAGGAATAAATTCTGTATTAAAACGTTGCGAATATTTCAGATAATTTTTAGTACTTCTTATACATATGTAGACATACTTTCAAAATTCAAAATAAAATTTAACAAGTAATGTAAAAAAATTAAGTCAATTCCTTCTTAGATCAACAAGGAAAAATTTTATTTGAGTTACTTTTTACTAAATAGTTACAATTAATATAACTATGCTTATACATGTGGGAGTCCGAATAAAATCTTCGAATAAAAATCAGACTCTTCAGAAGGCGGGATTTTAGATTGGCGAGGTGGTTGTCTAGGGGTAAGTATTCAAGGGTGAGTGATGAATTAATTGAATCAAAGTGTCATTTAAACGCAGATACTTCATTTAAGTAAAAAATAATTTATTTAAATTTAAAGGGAAACATTTACAAAAGGGAATATTTACAAAGAGAAAGACATGCAGGAATTAGGTTAATTGAAAGTTGAGTTATACCTTTAGAAGACGGGGAAATTAATTACCTTTCTCATGCTTGAACGTTAGGACTGAGATCGCGCTGGGCGCGAAATGCGCTAAAAACGTGACGTGTTGAACCGGCGGTGGTTAGTAGGCTTCTGCCGAAAAATTATGAAAACCGGAGCTACGAAAGCTCACTAGACGGTGCTGCTTCGGAATGCAAAAATAAACAAAATTGAGATTAATGGTCTTCTGAAAAGGATATGACTCAACCTTTTAACAAAATATTTCAAAGGGAAAATCCTACATACATATGACAGAATCCCACTATTAAGTGACAAAATAGGAAGCGATTTTCCTTGCAATTTTCTATTTTCCTTTCTATATATAGTGTTGGACTATTATTTTTGTTTTTTACTAATTATTAAATCATTAAATTTAATTATTGTAATAAATTAGTAAAGTTAAAAAAGAGATCACGTTCTCAGAAATTACGCCATCCCAGGTGGGATTCGAACCCACGACCTTTGCACTACAAGTCCAGCATACTATTCATTTGGCTAAAGGGACACAACGAACTATTCTCCTTGCTATATAGAATAATTAAATCAGATTAAAAATTAAATTCCCCATCTAGCACTTAACTCATATTTTTCATTTCATCTTCAAGTATCAAACTAATCACCCATTTATTTCTTCCGAACATATGGCCTATCCGGATAAACTTGTCTAATTCCAGATCGTTAGATTTAATAGCTCTGTATGTCAGCATTAAATTTCAAGTACAATCATAAAATCCGCGATACTTACCGCATCTGTTTTTCAAGTGTTATCCACTAAACAAACACCGTGGCGAGCTTTTTTCTCCCTGCTCTTAGCGTCAGAAGAAATGTACTAATTCTAGAATAAAGACCTTCTTAAAACTAAGTCTGATTCTGGCTCAAAACGTGTCAGAATTAAAGCCGGTAGGATTCTATCTGCGAATAAATTTCGAACCTTAACGTAAAACAAATATTTTTTGTATTAATATAATAGCGAGCGCCAACGACCGTAATAACTGATATGGAGAATTTGATGGAACATCAATGGTGCCCTACATATCTTTGCTGAAGGCGTCGGGTTGCCAGAATTAAAAGGAATGCTCTATGGTAAGGAAAAAGAAGAAAAGC